GGAACACAGAATGTTTCAATTGATATCAACGATTCCAAGAAAGTTAGGATTTTCCCAGTAAAAAATCACTTGACCCCAAATTTTTCAACAGCATTGAATCAATGGCTTTTCTTTCAGAAGCGAAAAAACATGAAAGCTGAAGAACCTTTTTTTTTTCACAAGAATTTACAATGAGCCCCAAACAATACTCACGTATCCCACTAAGTTCAGACAAATAAAAAGCAACGCTAACCCTCCATCTAAATTTACCAAGCAACAAACACAGCGGTATCAAACTATATCAGTTAAACAAATAGGAAGAAACACAGAACATGAGCACCCAAGTATGAATTTTGAGACAGAGTTAAAAGCTAAAAAAGATCAAAATTTTTACTTAATAAGGCCGGATTATAGTGACTGTTCGTGGATTTCGCATTCGCAAAAGCTTCCAGAGAGAGACCACCGCCTCCTAATCTCTGAATATTCTTCTTCTTCATTCTGATCGATTTTGAGAAATTGGTTCTAGAATTTCTCTCTCCATCTCTCGGACCCCGATTCTTCATCGCTGCAACGAATTATCCGAAAAAATTGCCGGAATTTTACTTGTTCGCTGATGAATTAGGGCAAGTTGAATAGTAGAATCGGAGAAAAGGGAAGAATCTTGTAACCCTAATTTTACTTGAGGCATAAGAGGACTTGGGTGTTGCCCGGGAACAATATAAAACATAAGTAACTACCAACCAGAACGTGCCACGTGTCACTGTACATTAACCAACCAGGAGTTGCCACGTAACTTATTTTGAATACCCGCTATATCTAACGCAATTATAATATAATAACAAGGTGGAAAATTTTGGAAAAATCAATTTAATACTTTTGGAAAACAATTTTATTATATATTTATCCTTTAAGTCTCTGTACATAAAAGATTAATCGTTAATTTAATTTAATCTAATGTAAATTTAGTTCGATTTATTCTTACTATATAGCATTAAATTTCGATTAATCAATTTATATTACAAAATTAAACTTTAATTTGACTATTATTATGTAATTAGCTACGATTTAATTACTTTTAATCGATGTAATGGTTTTATTTGATATTTTTTTAATTTAATGATAAAAATTTATTTTATAAAATTAAATATCGATAGTTAAATTTTCTTAAGTGATAATAATAATAATAATTTAATTTATTTAAAAATATACTAATTTTATTATTTATTTTTTAATTTAATTTAACTCTAATTAGAAATTATAATATTTACGAGAATTAAAATATAAATCAAACAATATCAGCACACATGAATCATAATCAATATTAAAATGTGGGGACGACCGTCCATAATGAACGGTTACGATCATCATCTGCAATAACTTTTAGGTATAGAATAGATGATGACAAAGGTCTGACTCTCATCAACTACTTCAAACGAAGACCCAAAAATTCCGTATGCTCACTCAATGTATACGTATATTATATAACTATATATATATATAATATAATATAATTAAAAAAGATGACCTTTAACAGATATATTTATTGTTCTTGTGTAAATATGCCATAGAGAGAATACACTCACATGAATCTATACCGTATATGGTATATTTAGTCACCAATTTCTCTATAATCTGTTATTGTATATGACTGTACTGACAAAACTGTATGAATGTGTGTGTGTGTATATATATATTTATAGACTTCCTGTTTCTCATGTATGTCAATTTCAAACATGGGTCATGCTCATTGTCCATGATCTCAAGGTGACTAATGGATGATGCATGTGTACTCATGCATGCTCATATATGATACATACATGATACATGCACGTACTAGGTCTCACACGTTGCGTTCATCACCTCCTTGGTCAGCAATGTCAACGGCAGCCGTCGTATCGTGGTGATTATCATGATTAACATCAAGATCATGATCCGCTTGATTGAGGTCATTAGTCTCCCGCCTTTGATCCCTAACCGACGTCGTATTCATCATTTCTTCTCCCGGCCTCGTCGTCTCTGGCAAGATCTCGTTTCTTGATCTCCTCTTGTAAAAAATATACAACCCCATTTGCAACACTCCGAATGCGAATCCCAGGGTGTTTGGCAACTGTATATATACCGTTGATCTGAGTTTATATAATATACACATAATACATACATACGTACATACATAAATACATATATATATATGTATATAAGGATACTTACGGCAATGTAGTAATCTCTAATGTAAAGTCCGTAGAAGAACCACATTACGGCACATAATGTGAGCGAAAAAGATAATGAGAATGGCAGGAATTCTGGGCTTTTTGTCTTGATCACCAGCCTCTGAAACAACAATAAGCTTACAAGTTATATACGTATATACATATATATATACACACGTATATATTATTAGATATCTGTTTGTGGGTGTGTAGGACATACAATGACACTAAGAGGAGCAGCAAAGACAGAAACAGAGAAGACAGCACAGATCCATCCAACAACAGTTATACGTATAGCTCCCTTGAAGAATATAGACGTGCAAAATATAATCAACCCATATGCTCCAAAGTTGAACAATGCAAGCAGCTTTATCGTTTGTATCTGCATTAATAAATTAGTTTGAAATAATAAAATTAGTGATCGAAAGATGTTGGAGTTGGTCTAAGTTGCCAGTTTCAGATGCCAGTTCAAAAGTGTACGGGTTCATATGTAGTTATGTGTAGGTAAATACGTATGTATATATGTATATACATGTATACCTTGACGGCTGTAGGTGCAAAAATTAAGAAGATAAAGAGGTAGATGGATTCAATGGCAATGCCAATGGCGTTGATGGTGATGAGCATGAAGGCATTGGTCTTGAGGAGAGCATAGTAGAGTAATAGCATGGCACTGAACAGTGCTACTGAATATGGTATTGAGTGGAACCCTTCTGTTGATTTCTTCTTGGTAATCCTATAGAATGTTGGCCTATACATATGCATATATTATACAAACAAAACCCACACAGTATATAATTAAATGATTTCCATGTACATAAAATTGATGAAGGAGACTTCACATATATATTATTAACTTACAATGGAGCAAGATACACTAGAAATGACAAGCAATTCCCTGCATGAAAACAAATCAAGAAAAGATTTAATACTGATTCAGATCATAAAATTAAATAAAACCCATTTGTAATATTAACATAATAATTAAATTACCAGCAAGACCAAATACAAGAGCCAAGTGAGGATTAGACATGGTTAATTGATTTTCCAATGAGGAAGACGATGAGAAAGTTGAAGAAGTAGCTAGCTGGCAGTAAACAGAAAAGCTAGCTGGCTAAGTAATGATGGGGATTGTGTTTGTGTATATGTGAGTTTATATATATGTATATATATGAGGTATAAAGGTGGTAAAGATGATGCCATGCATGACTTGCTTTCAACATATGGCTTTTGTGCTGTTAAACAAACTTGATTTTTTTTTTTTTTTGGGGTGTAGGCTATAAAGATTACCAGATCATGAGCTGTGATAAATTGCTTGTTATATTTGAATACCCATAATGTATCTATATCTCAAGCTATAGCTATATCATAAATATCAATCAAAGTAATCTTTAGTTTTGAGGGTTTAATTAAGCTTCAAAGTTTCAATTTATCTTGATCTTTTTTTGTAAGAATTCTGTTAATTAACATTCTAAATTTATTTCTCATAATTGCAGAAATGTATATGTGTGTGTGTGTGTGTGTATATATATATATAGTGGAGTATGAATATATATATACTTAAAAGGTATTGTGTTTGGACAAGTTGATGGGAATGAGCCAAGTGGTGACGTGAAGCAAATGATATGCGAGAAGAAAAAGACAAAAAGAGTTTGTAGAAATGGGAAATGGAGAGTTTGTTTACGTTTTGATAAAAAGCAGAAAAATTAGGGTTGGAAAGACAAGAAACCTCACTAGCCGTTACGTTTAAACGGTCTCCACCATATATATATATATATATATATAAACATACATACTCTTTACCTGGCTTCGCTTGAGCCCTTGGCTTTTGTTCTTGCATTTAGTAGATCACGCCGTTTAATTTGTTCGTATTCAACAACTTTTGGTTTCATATATTTATATATATATGGGCTAAATCGTAAATAGATAAATATAAATGTGTATGTATATATCTATATATGAGGTGATATATATACATACGCACACATAAACATATGAGTACTAGTTAATATGGGTTATTTTGTTAACTGATATACATATATATATATATATATGTATGAATTTTTTGATGGAAACTTGGAGAATGGAGATGACACAGTTTTAATTCGATTAAGAGACTTGTTGGTAAGGAGGTATTTCCAGGCAATATCTTTTTATTCAAATCAGTTCCCATAAGGATAAACATCGCAAGTGTTTACATATACATATACATAATTATATATGTATCGTACACAATATTACAAGCATTTAACTTTCCAATGAAAGTATACATTGCATTCTGATACATACATTGGTGCCGTATGAAGATGGCTATAGTTGTGTTTGTGTGTATATATATATATATATATGGGTTTCCCAAGCTAAGCATTAATTGATATCTAATTAACTATATATACACAGGTGCATACATATATACATGTCTTAAGAATCCCTTTCCAAATGTCAGACGGCTGCCTAAGAATGTCTTCATGAGGTAAAATCATACATACGTTAAATTTTATAATCATTCTTACTTGCGTTATATATCAAAATCAATTAGTTTCTAATTTTGAGATTTTCATTTGCATTAGATTAATGAGCTGCTAATCTGTACTTAATTAATTATAATTAAGTAACTAAACTCTAAACCTTGCCTGACTAAGTTAAAAACTATAAAGCTAGGGTGGTGGCTTCTCAAATTCATATACCCTTTTTTGGCTTTACTAATATTAATATGTACACGTGTGTATATATATATATATATATACATATATAAGTTGGTGTATTCTGGCTTATAATAGTGATTTAGTACACCAATAATTATAGTGTACCATGTACATAAAAATTGATGCAGGTTTAAATACTATATTGGTATTATATTATTTTTTAAATATTTAAATTTATTTATATATTAATATTTTTCTATTTTAGTATCATTATTTATTGTACTATATGAAAGTAAAATCCACATTTAATACTAAAATTTACATGATAATCCTCCATTAAATGCTACAATTATTGCTTAATTAAGATCGCATATGGTATGATAATTAATTATGTAGTATTAAATTACTCTTTGGTGATGGTAAGTTTCCTCTTAAGGAATTTTAAATTTCTTTAAATTAGCTAAAATTTTAGTCTAATTAAGCATAATGAATATAAAAATATAAAAATATAATATAATTTTCATTACATTAATGATGATATATATATATGTAAAATAATTACTTTCTTAATGAGGAAATAATTCCTTTTTCTAAGATGGAATATCAGGAAAATAATATTATTCTCTATTTTGGGTTATAATTAATTAAATTAATTTCCATTTATTAGCTCATGCACGGTTCTCTCTTTTGTCTACTATAAATTAGTATTTACATTGTGTGTGCATATGCAATTCTACCAAATAAGATTCACCATCTCTATATAAATCCAAGTTGAAATTGGTTACTACTAGCAATGGGGAAAAATAGTAGTAAGCCTCCACCAACCTATGCATGTCCGAATTGTCCGAATCGAGTTTTTCCGAATCTACATTCACTATCTCAACATCAAAGGAATTGTCTTGTTGAACGGAGTCGGAGAAATACTACGAGCGGGGCAACTCCAGTCCAGTATCAAGAACATACTGTTTATATTCTGGAGTCTAATCCTTTACCGCCACAACCACCACAATCGCCAACATCTACAGCAGAAAGTAGTAATGGTTAGAAAATAATTTTTTTATGTAGTTCTTCGGATTTCATCAAAATTATCACCATTGAAAATGGTTACTACGGTTATTTAATGTAATCCAAATATAAAGTATATTGCTATATTTACCTAATTTATTTAAATAATAATAATAGAAAATATTTACATTATATGCAAATAAGAGAAAGCCTAACACCTTGTTTGAATAAATTTTATTGATGGTTAATTAATGTGTGATAATGACAGTGATTGGATGATAATAACGAACGAGAATGACAATTTTTTTTTTTTATATTTAGATGATTGTATATTAATGTCATATTTTTATTTGGATGATAGGTTAATACGATTATATTTTCAATCAAATTATTAATTTACCCTTACTTATTATATGTAATAGTAAGTATTATATAAAAAGTATATAATGAAAAAAAAAGTTATTTACCAATATAATTATATTTGTATTTAAACAAATAATTATTACAAATTAAATTTTTATATTTAATAAAATAGATAATAAATTGTGATGATAAACATAAAATTAAATATATTATATGGAGTATAAAGAAAAAAAATGTAACCTGCCAGTCACATACCACTGATTCGGTAGTTTTAAAATTCATTCCAAATTTGTCGGTCAGATACCGTTTATTACATTGGAAGTTAAAAAAAACATAATTTTCTCACACCTGTGGAGTAATATACATTAAAAATCTTATTATTTACCATAATTCAAACTGGGTATAAGAAAATACATGATTAGTTCCTAATGATATGCCATAATATTATACATAATCTACAATTAAGATAAACTTTTACAATCTATGCTCTAAAATTAAATAGTTACATTATTAAATATAATTGAAACGTAATATTATTTCGTTTGGTTTTCAATTCAAAATTCTCGTATCTGTTTTAGGAAAACGTAATTTGATATTCCAATTAAAATTATAAACCGTCAAGATACTGAAAAATTAAAATTAAAATAGGAATTGAACCCACAGATTATACAAATAAATTATTTGTGAAAGATTATTGGTGACCATTTTTCTCAAATTCTAAAGCTATGTTTGGAATAAGGGTGATTTAGTACATCAATAATTAGTTAAACGGATATATGCATAGTTAACTTTGTCTACACATTGTTTATTGTAGTGTCATGTGTACATAAAAATTGATATCGATAATTATATTATTTTTAAATATTTAAATTTATTTTGTATACTAATATTTAGTTATCTCAGTATCTTTATTTTTTTAAAAAAATATATGTATTTACGTAAATATGATTATTTCTTCTAGCTGATATCTAATTTAATGAACTTTCTACTTATTTGATGGGATGGTAAAGAAATTATCTATGGTTAAACTCTTCACAACTTACCAATGGATATAATGTGTTTGATATAAAGAGTTTATCAGTTTAGACTTAGATGTAAGAATTTGGATATCTTATTTGTATTAATGAATTTATGTTGTTAATTTCCTAACGTGGTTATTAGCAGAAATTAATTGAAACTTTAGCATGTGCTCACGAACGCATACTTTTGACAAATTTAATTCGATGAAGAGATAAATCAGTAACTCTTTCAATTGTGCAAACAAGATTGGTTGGATTAGTCCACTTTTGTATAGGCTATATATTCACTTATACGGCTTTCTTGATTGTCTCTATATCTGATAAATTTAGTTAATTTTTATATACGAAATAATATGATTTATGTTAATCTTTTAATGGAGAAGAGAGTATACCTTCTTATATTTCTATATTTCGGATCCGATTTGTGTCATCATCATTGATAATAGAAACTGAAACATTATGACAAAGAAAAGTATAATTCGTATAAAATTTTAATTTTTAATTTTTTATTAAAAATAATGAAATTACAATAATTTTTATATTCTAAACAATACGTGATATGAGATATGAAAATTTATTCAATTCGAAACAATTAAGTGCATAACAAGTGATAAATCCATTAATGGTGTTAATAGTAACTTATGGACATAGATTAATGTAAATATTTTTTAAAATGAAGTAATAAAAAAAATAAAAACTTAGTACAATTGATGAATTCAAATATTTAAAAATAATATAATGATTTAATATTTAAATCTTTTCATATGTGTATATAATATATAGTTGGATATAATAATAGAAACTTGGGTACATAATATTGTATTATATGAACGTGAAATCTACATTTAATACTAAAATTTACATGATAATCCTCCATTAAATGCTGTAATCATTGTTTAATTATGATCAGATATGATATGATTATTAATTATGTAGTATTAAATTACTTTTTGGTGATAGTAAGCTTCTTATAAATATGTAGAAGACCGGAACCTTGGATAAAATAAATTCATAATTTAAATGCGGAAGTATATAATAACGTTAGAGTTTTTATTATTTACACATAAATTAGCATGTCCAATAGGGTTATAAAAATGTCTATTTCATAGTAGTTCATAAACAAAAACGTAATAACGTATGAAAATAGTAAATAAATGTCGTAGGGAGGTTACCCTCCACTACCTTTTGATAAGATTCGGGAGAACATCTACTCACAGCCCTCATGCTAAGAGGATTTGAATTTTGATCTTCTTAATCTGAAATGATTAATAGGAGAGGAGGTGAGCTACAGTATCCCAATAGAATATCACACTACTCACCGATACAGAAGTTGAAGGTTGGTTAAAATCATAAAAATAACTAATGTAGATCTTAATTTAAATAAATTTATTTATTATAAGAAAAATAATTTATTGCATACTTACCGTTGCGAGATTTTTAAAATCGATCTATAGAGACAATAACTCAAATAACATTATGATTTCATAATCAAGTGAGTAATAGCAGCGACTTTCTTTTTTATCTGCTTACTGGTACCTCTAGGGGTCCATAGGGATGTTCCACTATGCGTGAACCCAATACCTAAACTTGTTAACTAGCTGGCTGTCCCCATACTCCCGTCCGGTATGAGTGTCAAAAATACCATCTCTCGATACTCCGTCCGGTATGAGGGTAAATCGGGCCGTCCTCATACCCTGTTCAGTATGAATACAAAAAATATCATCTCTCAATACCCCGTCAGGTATGAGTTAACGTTTATGGTAGAGTTCTCTATATACCCGATCTGTCCACAATCTCTCAAGATATCTAGTAAGACAATCATTTATTAATTCACATAATCAAGCAATTTCTCATTTGCATATTAATTTCATATTTCACAAATCAATTGTAAATCGCACAAAACAAGCGATATATGCATCAAAGAAGCACAACTGAATCATTTAACCATTTTAATATATTATCATGTATTTAAAGCTGTAAAATTAAACAATCAGTTAAACATGACAAATAAATAACCAACCGGTTCTCGTTTAGTTAGTAACATGTAATTATTCTCAAAGTTTTCTAAATTTCAAAAATATCATGTTATTGATTATTAAGCTTCAATTCCATAACAGGGAATAGAGTGAGAGATTCTCACCCGAATCGATATTCGAAACGCCGAATTTTCTACTGCGCCTATTGGGAGTTCCCGAATTTTTTGCATTTTTTTCGAAGATTAAATACGTTTCACACACTTAAAAATACCCTAAAAAACTTAAAATCGGTGTTAAAAATTCTTTTCGACCAATTTTGAAATTTCTACACGGTGGCATTGCCGTGCTCCGACGACGGCACCACCACTAGCGGTGGCGGTTTGCCTCAGTCTGACCGTTTTCGACCAATTTTGGCCGACTTTATACGTATCCCTATGAAAAAATACGTTAGGGGGTCTCAGTTGGCCGAAAAAAATCAGAAAACAGAAACCCACTGGTTGTGGGGTTTCCGGGTGCGGCGGCTCAGCCAGCTCATTTTCGCGGCTGAAATTTCTTCTTCAGTCAACCTGCAAAAAAAAAAAACGATGAACACAACGGTAGAAAAATCGCACGAAACGGGAAACATATAATAGCTCATCGGAGGAGGTTGCAGATTTTGTCTGCCGCTGCTCTACCGGGCTTTGCTCGCAGTTTTTAACTCACTTGTTGTTCGTTTTGCCCCAATATGGCCACATGAGTGCTTGGAATTGAATTCTGAGCTGGTAGGAGAATTTTTACCTTCTTTGGCGGTCGAAGTGACTCTGATGTAGCAGCGGTCGGCGGTCGGCTCTCTTCTCAGCGTCTGGTTTTCTCTCGGCAGGGGATTGACGGTTAGGATTCGAGTCCATGTA